AAAAAAAGGAGGAAAAGTGGAAAACGAAATGGAAGCGGCACGAAAATGGGGTTGGCGAGGAAACGTCGAAACGCAAACACGAAGACTCCTCCTCGTTCGTTTGCAAATCGTTATACCCATTTTCCTCCAGATTTCCCCGCGATCTCCCCCTAAGAAGAAACAGCGTTCGTCGAATTGTTGGCGCGGGAAGAAACGAGGTGGAGGAAGGAACGAAACGGCAACTGGATCGCGGCGCGTTTTATTTTCGTAGCGCGAAAGTGTGCCGATCGTGACACGCGCGATATAACTCGAGTATCCTCGTCCTACTCCGATTCGAATTGGACGAGGGAGGGAGGGGTGTGGTGCGTGGCAGCGACCTTCTCCAAGCATCGGCGAAATAATTGATCGATGGAAATAACCGCGCGTCCCTGAAAAGCGGCCGCGATTGAAATGGAAAAACATCGGTAAACTTTGAGTTTCCGATCAGCCGGCTGTTCGTTCTTCCCTCTCTCCCCCCCCCCAACCCCCTCCCTCTCTCGATATCAATTCTCCACCGATAAATTTCCCCGTGCACTTTATATTCACGATATTGTAATCGGATGAATAAATTCAACCTCTGCCATAAATCGTTCCATCAAACATGCATAAAGGTACGGTTTCGATTAATTGATAAGAACGAGGTAAGAGCGCTCTATCGAGCCCTCGATCGCGAAATGAAAAGCTCCGACAGACAGACTCGTGCCCTTTCTCTCCCTCTTCCTCCATTTTTCTTTCGTGGATGGTTAATGACCATCCCGTCCCCACCTCACCGACGAATCCGCGATTCCGTTTCTTTTCGCGCAACGACGAGCTACGAGAATTAATCGCCAGAGATGAAAAGACGATTTAGGATGGGCTCTCCTCCTCGACGAGACGAGATCTTCGGAGTCTAATCCCGTGGAGTTCGGTACTCGACGAAACGAAACCACTCGATGCGAGACCTCGTTAAGACTTAGGTGGCACGAATTTCATTTGTCGAGGGGTGGTGGGCGGCAGATATCGCGGCAATCTGCCACTACCGGTGGGTACATCGCAACGTTGTCCCAACTTTTATCCTCTCGCGTTAACCCCGTTTCTCGACACTTTGGCGATTCGTCTTCTCTCCGTCCTTCTCCGTCCGCGGCGAGATTCGCGGAAAAAGAGATTCCGTCAGCCACCGTGTACTCGTTAATTAAAACTCTGCCGAAGTTGGAACATCGCTTTAACGAGAGATCGAACCTGCAACAAAAATTGAACTCCCTCCTCGCCTCGCCTCATCTCGCCTTACTACCGTACGTAAACTTGGATCGAAAAGAAGAAACGGGGAGAGGAGGGAAGAAGCAAATTTCTTTCTTTTCGCGATGTAACATTAATTTCTCTCGATTCCTTTCAACGGTGAAATTTAAGAAAAACCATATCCTCCGCCAGACGGTTCGTTGCAAAGGAAAACGCGTTTTTTTTACGCGCGATTAGTACACACGAGTCCCTCCCTTCTCCTTCTCTTCCTCTCCTCGCCCGAATTTAATTTTCCAATTTCGCCGACCGCTCGGTTCCGTTATCCGCCGATTTACGCGCCTCCTCCCTTCCCCGAAGAAGAAGGGGAGCACTTTTTCCGCGAACCCAGCCAATTTCCCGCAGATCGATTTCTCTCGAAATGACGTAACCCACTGTCCTGTACGTACGTACGGCTATTACGGAGTATAATAGATATATTCGAAACGGAAGAAGCACGAAGCTGCGCGTCGTTTCCGCATACCGATTGAATTATGAAAAACGATTTTGGCAGGGAGAGGAGGAAGGGGGAATTTTGACCAGTGTAGTTTATCGCCTCCTTCCTTATCCCCTTCTTTCCCCCGATCCGACGAATTAATTCCCGTTTCCTGCCTCGTCAGCCGATCGCAAATTTTCCGCGCGATCGTCGCTTCGAAAGGGGGTTTTCGAAGGGCGTTCCCCTCGAGGAAAAAGAAGAAGAAGAAGAAGAAGAAGAAGAAAAAATGCCGGTTTAATTTCTTCCGCTTGTACGCTATTACCGCGTCCAAAGTAGAGAAAGGAAAGAAAAGAGAAGAACGTGGGGTAATTACGCTCGATGCGAAAGGAATATCCGCTTTCGAATTGCCGGATCCCCCTCCCTCCGTCCGTCCATATCCGTTGGATGCGAAGCGAATCCGTCCCCGAGACTTTGAAATTTTCGAGACGTTTCCTTCCTTCGTTTACTTCGACGACGACGTTTTCCTCGATGTAGATATTCCCGGACCAAAGTTTTCGAGTGTTTCGGAACAGTGGAGTGGTCCGGGTCGGTCGTTCGCGTCTCCGCAGGGAATGAAAGTTGAAATCCGGTCGACGCTCGGAGGGATGAAAAAGCAAAGAAGGGAGGACGAGGGGGAAGGAAATTGGCCGAATGACCGAGGGAGAGCCGAATCTTTTTCGTTGCTCCTTTTTCGGCCGACGGAGGCGGAGGACGCCCTGGACGCGAGGGAGGGCTTTGTTCGACTTTGGAAATTCGGAACGACGATTTATCGAGAGTGCGAAAAATACTTTGATCGCGGCAAGTGACGGGCCGGATTGTCGCGATCAAGGTATAAGCTCTCGCGGGGATAAGCTCCCTCTCCTCTGATCGTCTCTTGTCCTCTTCTTCCCTTACCCATCGTCCGGTGTTCGAAATGCGAGATAACGGAAAAGGTAGAGAAAGGTCGACGAAATTTTTACTTTCGCTCGCGTAGTCGGCGGCGTTTTATTTATTTATTCATTTTTTCTTTTCTCGCTCGATCGGAACGGGGTTATTTCAAATCGCAGCTCCACAGTGGTCGCATCGCTCGTTATTATTTCCGAGTATAGGGGGTGGGGATTTGCGGAGAGACGAGAACGAAAGGCTCGCTTCGGATACGTGATCCGTTCCACCCGACACCTCGAATCCCGATATCTCCAATCCCGATTCGCCTCGATCCGAGGTTAGGCGTTTCGGTGATTCGTGAAATCGAAATCTCGAAACGTTTCCCGTTTATAGATCGAGCATCAACCTGTTGCTTATTACGAACGCCCATAGGTTATCGATAAGACGGCGATTTATTCGGTAATCGGCGAGAAGGGAATGGGGGAGGAAAGGTGCTTTGTTCCTGCTCCGTATCCGTCCAGGAAAATCCGTCCAGGCTTCTCCTTATCTGAGAAGCGAGAGCGTGAACGGATCGAGGTCTTCTCCACCGTTTCCTCTTCCCCCCCGCGATTTACATATCCAACGATTTCGAAGGGAAAAGAGCGGACGACGAGTTTCTCTGGATTTTTATCGGAAGCTCGGCGGAGCTCGATTCTTTTTGCAGTTGGGGAGGCGATCGAGGAATCGGCGAGCGAGACAATAGAGCGAGAAAAGGGGTTTTCTCTTCCGGGTGGTTGTCGCGCGGTCGGGCAACGAGCAACGACGGCAGTTTGCCGGGAGAAGGTTTGGCGGCGACGAGGCGGAAGAAGAGAGGGATCGTTTGTCGCGAGCAGAGACGCGAGGAAGGAAGGGACACGGAGGGGGAGGGCTCGGTAGGGCGATTTCCATTGTCGGCCGTGAACACCGCTCACGGTCGCCGATATAATTGGCGCCGCCCTCGGATAACTCGAACGATAACGAGGACAAAAGAAACCGCGCCGGTGAAGAAAACAATGGTGGAAGATCCGTTCAAAGTACCGAAGAACCACCGAGCTCTTGGATCTGACAGAATTCAACCTCCGACTTTCCCACTTTTCCGCGGCTTATCCGCTTATCCGCGTCCCTCACTCGACCGCGTCAACCTCCCCCTCCCTTGGATTCTCGCGCCTTAATTGTACTCGTTGAGGGACCTTTCGCAACATAAGTCGTCCATCTTTTTTTCAACTGTTTCTATTCTTCTCAACGAACCTTCAACCGCCATTCTTTCTCTCCCCGATTCCAAATATTCGACGGATTTCTTCGATTTCTAACCGGTTTACAAAGTTTCGAGCGAATTCGAGTTCCGAGATTCGCCCCTTTCAACGGATCGGATCGTTGAAAAAGAACGATTTATCGAGTATTTCGGTGTAACCAGTCGTCGATAATTGCAATTTCATCGCAATCCTATTGGCAATCCAACGGCCATACGCGTTTCGTAATTCTCCATCGCGAGAACGTCGAGTTCTTCCTCCCTCTCTCCTCGATATACATCTTCTCGAAAGTAAAACGGGATCCCTGTAATTACCGACGACTTGGAAGATCGTTCTGGAAGACGTAACGACGAGAATGTTGGAGCCTCGCGCGAAAAATAGGACGCATTTTTAATTAATACCACGGGGGGGGGCGTAATTATCGGCGGATTTCTAATTGGAAAAGGGGAGGGGAAGAAAAATCGCGAAAGAAGCTCTCTCCTCGAGAATCAAGGCTGCGGCGAGTGGGTTGGAGCGCAACATCCTCTCCGACTCGGCTACGATTAACGCGGTATCGGTCGCAATTACCGAGAAGAAGAATCCTCGTCTCGAGGACATCCACGTTCCAATTCTTTATTCGCCGATTTGGTGGCGAGAGAAGGGAAAAGTTCGACTTTGGTCCACGTTTAACGGTTGGACGCGTTTCGAACGCGCCCGATTTCCTCCGGCGAGGAGAAATCTGCTAATAAATCGATCGACGCTCGGCTCGACGGGTTCGTATATAGAAATTTCGAAGCGAGTCAGTCACTTCCTTCTCTCCGTTGGTAAACCGTTTTACCAACTTTTTCCGCTATATCGAATTCTGATTCTATTCTCGAACACTCGAAGAAACACTCGGGCCAACACCCTGACCCCCGATACCGCATCTTCTCTCCAACACGACCACTCTCCCCTCCCTTCTATCGGCGGATAGAAATGGGAACGGGGAATAGGATATCCCCTCGCAGTATTCCGATACTCCTTTTCCTAACTTTCGATCCCGCGGGATACGCCTCGTATACCCATGGATCGGGAGAGGGTTCCTCTTTTCAACCGATCCACCGCCTTTACGATCGACCAACCTGTCGTTCCGTTGATTGTTTCAGCCGAGAAATTGCCGAACGGTTTCCCGTTAATATCTCAAGCGCCAACGACCAAGGTGGTCGAGATGGGCCATAACGCGGTGCTCCTGTGCACGGCCGTCGGTTCACCGCCTCCGATCATATCTTGGGTGAGAGATATGCTGCCCATCGACACCACCAATCCACGCTACACCGTTTTGGACACGGGTGAGTAGAAACCAGCATTCTCTTTTGTATCCGATCGATTCTCTCGTCGATCAGCCGTTGAGGAAAAGAGAGAAGAAAAAAGAGAGAAAGGCGGCGATCCACTACGAGACTCGGCGGTGCGTGTCATATCTGGTCGGGCGGCGGAGTGCGTAAGTCAGTGTCAACCGGGCGGTAGCGTTGATCGAGTGGTCACGCGATACGGGAACATCCAGGGCATCCATCTCGTTTTCCCGTGAGCGCGCACCTGCTCCGCGACTCTCGTCCCCGACCATTGCCACGCGTATCCACTCTCGATAGAGCCTCGAGTCGAGAGGCGAACGTGTCCGAAAGCGGAATAAAATATCCTTGCCGCAACTCTTATCCGATCCGATCGAGATACGAGAGAAAGGAGGATGAGATCGGATGGGAGGAAGGAGAGAAAAAAGAGAAGGAGAAAAGGATTCGCGAGTAATAATTGGCGATAACGAAGGGGGCGGGTGACGAGCAACTTTGGAACTCGTTTCCCTAACGCACGACGTATTATTCCCCCAGATAGGTGCGCTAAGTAGACGTTATAAGCGAAGGTATACGCGTGTACGGTGTATATACACCGTACACGTTTTCGTATACGTTCACTTTGTTTTTATCGCGATGGCGGTATCATTATCGAACGGCACGTCACGTAATACCGGCGCGCACTTGCCCCACTATCTTTACGACGGCGGCCGGTGCAGTTTGCCGCGACGTGAAAAGTATACATTAGATGCGGGAAAGCTGGCTTGCTGCATACACGCCGGTATCGTGTAGGTGCACGCGTTATGCATATATCCGCGCTTCCCTCGCCCCCCTCCCCGCACGCGTTTCCATAAAATTGCCAACGACCGTTCCACCGCCCCGATCCCTTCTCGATCCCCGCTTTTTTCGAATCGACCAATCGCGAATTAACGCCAAATTTATTCGCTCTTCGAGTCCCTCCTTTCAAATTCCAAGACCCGCTTACGGGTCGTATATATATATATATGCGTATGCGTGGCACGTATAAACGGGAATATCGCGTGCATCCTCCTCCGTCTACATCTACGCGTTCGAAACGGAAATTCGATCGGATGCGGCTGTTGGACTTCCTTCGATCGATTCTTCGAGCGAAGAACCGAAGGAAAGGGAGAATCAAGAAGCTCGTCGAAGCTGTAGCCGCGTCGGTCACTCGATCGGTTTGTTCGACGTCCCTTAACGTCATTCGCGTGTCTTCCATCCCGTCAATATCGTTAGAAGCCATCGCGCCATACGCCACCATATCCCATAAGATATATGGCTTAATGTATCGCAAAAAGTACACGACGTGCTTGTACCACGTTGCGCGTGTATAACCACCGAGCGGAAGGAAAATGGATGGAGGAAGCGAGGGGAGGGAAGAATCGTGGATGGAAGAGAGAGAAGCGTATCCTTCTCCCTCCAGGAGGAGGGAAGGTAATTCGTTTAACTTTTATCGCGTTCGTGGTCGCGTTCACCATCGTCGTGGTGTATGCATATCTCGTTGATAATAATGATCGAAAACGCTGGAAAGGGAAGAGATCGAAAACGAATTAACGCTCCAAGATTTCCAACCCTTTGTGTCTTCCCTCGATTTCGCGACCTCTCCCCGATTCATCTCCCCGGGGAGATATATATATATATACACACACGTGGGATGGGAGGATAAAGTGGAAACAAGGGGGAAGGAGAAAGGGACGCGTTACATTCGGACGACGCGGTCGCGAATCTCTATTTCCGTTTATCGCTTAAACGAGACAAATTAATTAAAGTCATACACGGGCGCGAGGTGGGTAGGTAGATAGGTAGGTAGGTAGGTAGGTAGGTAGGAACGAGCGACGGCGGCGTATTAAAATAACGCTCGCTTTGGCGAACGCGCCGACCACTTTACGATAATTGAAGGGGATTAAACCGACGCACGCGGATTCTCTCCGCCATCCGAGATAAACCAATTTAATATTTCATTTCATTTAAGCTTTGTCACCGTTTACGGGGGAGGGGGCAAGGCGCGGTCGAACCGATATCGAATCGCGGGGCCGCCTCGTTCGAAGGTAAGAAGGGAAGGAGGGAGGAAGAGGGCGCGAGAAGAAGAGGTTGACGCTTCGTGGTCGACACTCGTAAAATTTCCGGCGTTAAAAGGGAGCGGCTCCAAGTTCGAAACAAGAGGAGGAGGAGCAAAGTAGCGGGGACGCCGCTTCTTAACACCCGCCTTGGGATTCCCCTCTTCCACCCTCCCTCCATCTTGCCTCCATCTATTTCCATCTTAATTCGTAACGAGCCGTGATAATCGCCGCGATCGTTTCCGCCAAACTTCTCTAATTGTCCGTAACGATAACGCGTAGATAGGTTGGCCGTGAGAGCGTAGCTGTCCGAGGCCGAGGAGGGAACTCGGTGTGAAAATTGGTGTAACGGTAATGGTTGTTTTGCTACCACGGGAGAGAGAGAGAAGATCGGCGTCGATTTATAAATTCCTTCCCCGGGCGAGGGGAGGACGCGATAACTTTTAAACACGAGGGGGAAAGGTCGGTGATGATCCGTTTCTCGACTCGTTGGTGGAAGAAAGGGAAGGGGAAGAGGAAGCGTTTTTGGAAAAATTGGTCGGATGGAGGAATATTTTTTGCCTCCTCTCGGCGAGAGAGAGAAAAGACTGGCGTTTCGCGGTCGATTAAAGGCTCGGTTCGGTGAGCGCGGCGAATAGAATGACAAAAAGGAGCGGAGGAGGAGGAGGAGGAGGAGGCGGAAACGTCAACGGGTAATTCGATTTCCTTTCTGACGCGACGCATTCGCCAGACGACGCAACTCCCTCGAATCCTCGCGAAAGACGTTTCATGCCCGCATAATCTTCTCGTCTCCCGTCATTCTCTCTCTCTCTCTCTCTTATATTTGCAAAGCGAGATTCTGACGTTAATGCGCCGCACTTCCAAACCTTCAACGAAACCCGAAATAGAGAAATGTTTGCGGAAGAGAAGGTGGTGGGGAGGGAGCAGTTGGAAACGCGACGTTTCGCGAGTTTCCCTTCCCTCCAATTGTGGCAGGGGAAGTTACGCGTGGAACAAGGATCGTTGCAAAGCTTGATAAAACCGATGATACTCGACCTGTGATAATTAATACAGCGTGTATATTTTTTCTTTTTATCGAGAAAGCTTCGTTCGCGCGTATTCGTCGTCGTTTCGAGAGGGGGAAAGAACGCGCGATGGAACCATCGCTTTTCCACTGTAAACATCTGTGTATTTTTTTTTCCTTTTCTCCTTTTTGTTTGTTTTTTCGCGTATTTTGACCGAATCGGAAGGCGCGCCGTTGGAAAAGCATCGGATACGAGCCATTACCTCGCGTCCCCTTTATCCGTTTTTCGTTCCACTTCAACCGACCTCTCTCGCGTGAATATTTTCCGATAATTATAATTGACTTTTTTTTACGCGGTCGATGCGCTACTACCACCCCACCATCCACCCCGACCGAGAGTAATTATGAAAGCAATTAAAATCGTTGGCGAATTACTCGTCCCTTCCTTAACGGAGGAAAGAGCAGGGAGCAGAGATACGAACGCGCGGCCGTGGTATATATACCCTCGAGATAAACATATTTTCCGTTCCCATTCTATCCGCGTTCGTCTTTCCAAGTCGTCGCCCGTATCGTCCGATTCCGTATTCCTTCCTCCCCGAACGCGCGGCCGCCGAGGGAGGAGGAGAGGAAGCGACCGGTCAACGGCATCGAATCCCGAATAGAACTCGCGTCCTACCTTCTCGCGTTCGTTCCATATTAAATATATAAGAAAAGATATTTCAATATCGGCGAGTAAACACGCGCAAATAGTTTCCACGTTTCTTCGCGTCGTCGCTTTCGGAGGAGCGAGGTCGACGCCGTGTTTACAACGCACAACTCCGTGTTCGCGTACGTTCTCAACCGAATACTTCGGAGGGGGGAGAAATATTCCTTCGTGTGTCGTACGTCGATTTTCTTCCGGGAAAAGTCGGGTGGAAAGGAAAATTTTTGAGCCGAAATCGAGTCGATTTCGAGGCTGTAATGATTCCTGCAACGAGAAGAGAACGAAATTGTAGGATTTTAAACGTTCGAGGGGAATAATATCAAAGAGGGATGGATAGATTTTCATCTTTATTCGATTTCGCCTTCCTTTACACGGTGAAAAATCTGTTTCGCGCGCATCCGCGTTATCGAGAGTGTGCTCCTCGAACATTATCGAGTTTTACCTACGGGTTAACGCGCCGATACCCTTCCACCTCTCGTTCGTCTCGATGGCGCGATATTTGTTTCTCTCTCCCCCCTTTCCCTTCTTTCTTAGCGTCTCGAAGCAATTCGAAAATTTAGCCGTCGAGTGTTAAGTTTTTCGCAGTCGCGCTAACAAGTCGTGCACGTGACTGGATGGGATAACGATATGACCACGCGTTCCTTCCTGGTCAACTTGCTCGTAGAAATTGTAGATGAGGCTCGATTACGTATTCCGATCGTACGCGATATCAAACTGCCTGGCTTCTCCTCGCTCGTGATGGAGTGTTTTCTGCCCTCGACCCCTTCCCCCCGTCTTCCTCTCTCTCGCTCTCTCTCTCTCTTCGCGCAGGTTATATCCCTCCGTGTATCGCGGTCTCTCTCTCTCTCTCTCTCTCTCTCTCTCTCTCTCTCTCTCTCTCTCTCTCTCTCTCTCTCTCTCTCTCCCTCGGCCATCGAAGTCGCAAGTTTGCGACGAGGAAACCTTAGGAATCCACACACGAGGGACACGTCCACCTCGTAGGGAAATATTTAAACTAGGTATCTGGCGTGCACGTTGGTTTGGCGAAAGGGAAGATCTCTGTCCGCGGCGAAAAGGGGCGAAAGATTACGCGGGGATCTCGGTCGAGAAGCTCTGTTTTGATTTCCCTTCTGTTGTTCCGCGCGCGTTCTAGAAACAGCCATTAATTATCATCGTTAATTATCATGGTCGCGTTCGATAAAACATGGACGTCGAAAGGATGGAAAACAAGCTCGGTGATCCGTCGTGTTTACTTTGCGGCGGGGTTGAAAGAAGGGCGGAGAGGCGAGGAGGGGGCGGAAGAAATTCTCGTGGGGAGAAAGGAAGGAAGGAAGGAAGGAAGGAAGGAAGGAAGGGAGAAACGAAGCGGAGAGATTGGAAACGGGGGGTTGAATTATACCGAAGGAGTGACGTCTACGGAGATAATCACACGCCTCGTAACAGCCAGTTCATCATCGTGGTATCGTGCTTAAGGGCTTGATGCATCGTGGAAATCGCGCACGAACGGAAACTCGAATATAGATCTCGCATGGAATCTTTCCTCGAACTTCTTTCGTTCCCTCCCGTATCGATTCGAGCGAAAAAAAAAGACGATCGAGAAGTCGAAAAAAACTCTCGATTACATTGCGTGCATTACATGCGTGATAATGTGTAACGTGTATGATTCTTTTCTTTCAGGGGCGTTGCAAATCACCGGATCCGACGTGAACGATCAAGGAAAGTACGAGTGCGTGGCGAACAATTCGGTGGGCACCGAGTATTCGAAATCCGCCATGCTGTACGTGAAAGGTAGGTGGCACATCTGGCCCTTCCCTCCGTCTTCGACCGCCGTCGTTTACCGCCATCGTTTACCGCCGCGTGGTAAAAAACGCGTGTAACGCGAGATTCGCGGCGTTAAACCCCCCCCCTCCCCTCCTCCAGTTCTCCCGTTTCCCATGAAAATTAATGCCACGTAGTTAAAGCGTAATTAAACTAAGCTGACGGCACAAAGGATTCGCGCGCTTGAAATCGCGTCGCAAATATTATGATGCGGCGACGCGGCATTTCTTGCGGTGGTAGAAACCCTGTGTGCGTCCCTCGAGATTCAAGTATCGCGTAATCAAATGCACGGCTCCCGACAGTTTCGAGTCGCATGCGCGTTGTTAATTGGCACGGGATAGTAGCCGCGTCCCCGACCAATCCGACCAACCTCTCCTCTCAAACTTCTTCTCCTCGTTTTCGAACGAAAACGAGAAGAGAGAAAAGAGAAAAAAGAAAGGAAAAGAAAAAAAAAAAAAGAAATTTCATTCTGTTCTGATTCTCGACTACGACGACGACGACGACAGTTCGACGCGTCGCGCCCACTTTCTCCATACCGCCGCCCGCTGTCAGCGAAGTGATGCTCGGCGCCTCTTTGAACCTGACCTGCGTCGCCGTCGGATCCCCGATGCCGTACGTGAAATGGAAGAAAGGCCCGTCCTTGGATCTCACTCCGGAGGACAACCTACCAGTTGGTAGAAACGTGCTGATGCTCACGGACATCAAGGAGACCGCCAACTATACTTGCACCGCAGCCAGCGATCTCGGCGTCATAGAGGTTACGTCGATGGTGAAAGTTCAATGTTCGTATCGCATCCTATATCGCGACGCGTCGTGTCTCCTATCCTATCGTATCGCATCGTATCGTATCGTATCGTATCGTATCGTATCGAGATGGATCGAGATGGATCGAAATCCTCGTGTAAATCCTCGGAGATCACACGCGCGCACCGACCTATCGGACTACGTAACGTAACGTAACGTAAAACGATCAATCACGCGGATCGGTGTGCGCGGCCGTGTTCGAAAGCAGAGGTTGTACGTTGTAGGTACGTGTATATATACGGCGAAGCGAACGATGCCGAGTACGCCGAGTGGAGTGGAGGACCGATCGATCCGGTTTACGCGTTACGCGAAAAGATCGGAGGGGACGATCGTGTCGTAAATTGGTGGGAGGGGAGGGAGGGGGGGGGGAAGAATCGAAGACAGGAATCGCTTTCTAATCTAAATGAAACGACGAATAATTTTAGCTCTGCCTGGGCCTGCGGAGAACGTTCAAGTGTCGGACATCACGGCAACATCCGTGAAGCTGACCTGGTCTTACAAAGATCCGGACGAGGTCCAATACTACGTGATACAGCACAAGCCGAAGCACGTGAATCAAGCGTTCGCCGAGATATCGGGCATCACCACCATGTACTACCACGTGCGGAGCCTCAGCCCTTACACCGAATACGAACTTTACGTGATAGTCGTGAACGCGATTGGGCGTGGTCCCCCGAGTGCCCCTGTGACGGTCACCACTGGAGAAACGAGTCAGTATTTCCTACTCCTCCTTGGCCCCCACCCCCCGCCACCCCTATGTCTCCGTATATTTTCTTTTTCTTCATTTTATTCATTGGCGCACGCACGCACGCGCGCGCGCGCGCGCGCAAAATTTTCCGCATATTTTCGTTCGAGCGAGTTCGAGTTTGTCGTCGAGAAATACGCCCCGGGATATCCGGCGCGCGTTTCGAATCGAACGAAAACTTTGCGACTCCCGTGACCATATCTCGTGACGATGAAATATATATATCGTGACGAGTTTACCTAGAGGAATGGAATGGACGGCCAGCTTTTTTTCCGCGCACCGGGTACCCGCGGCGAAAGATTGCTTGTTACGAGCCCGACCGATCGCGTACGAATTTTTGCACGTAGATAATGTTTTTTGCACCACCAAAGGAGGAACAAGTTTTGATACGGTTTTTGAGGGAAATTATACCTTTTTTTCCATGCTGTCCGTCGCGGACGCACGCGTTGATTCATGTAAGTGACAAGACATTTTTTTCACCTACCTCTACTACCGATCCCCCGCCCTACCCCCTATCTCTCTCTCTCTGTCTCTCTTTCTCTCTTTCTCTCTTTCTCTCTCTCTCTCTCTCTTTCTCTTTCTCTGTGTCGCACCATGTATTAGTGTTTTTGTCGGATCGTGTCCGCCGCGTCCACCGCGCTTCGACGTCCGACGTTACGCTCTGCATTTTTCTCGTCTCTGTCTTTCCCCCTACCCTCTCTGTATCTCTTCACCACCACCACCACCACCACCACCGCCACCGCCACCATCACCACCACCACCACCATCATCATCGCCCCCCTTCGAGTCTCTCCGTCTCTTTCCTGAGCGAAAGAGCGAAACCGATACGCGGGGAGACGAAAGCACGCGAAATTGCACCTTTCCTCGATAAAAGTAGCCGCACTCTCTTCGCACCTCGTGAAAATACGAACGCGAAAATACGATTCGTATTTTCACCGTGCATTATATACCATTTAATTCACGTAATGATCATCGAAAATAATCGTTCATCCTTTTTTTCAATAGCGGAATCGACAAATGGAGGTGCCAGTAAGTTCAATCATCAATACTAAGAGTGTTGTAGCAAACGTATTTTCTATTCTCATTTTTCATGTTTTTTTTTCTTCTTTTCTATTTCTCTCTCTCTCTCTCTCTCTATATATATATATATATATATATATATATATAT